GCCCAGCCTCTGAGGCATGCACACGCTGAGTTCCGACTCAAAGTCCGGCTCAGCCTCTGAGGCGTGCACACGCTGAGTTACGGCAGACATCGGCTTAACCTCTGTGGCCCTCACTAGCTCGGATTCGGCAATGGTCAGCTGAGCCTCTGGGGCGTTAAGGGCCGCCGGGTCATGACGGGTATCCAGGCTAGCATTGTATTACCTTGTAGTGGTTGTCCAACATCTAAACCTACTGTACATAGCAGAGTCACGGATCGCCTTATCGGCCGAGGCGAATCCGATGCGCCCCATCGTCCGGGATTAGTGGGAGTTCAGCAATAGAAGGCACAGCCCAGAAGTAATCTAAATAACAGACATGTCATGACTAAACTTGCCAATAAAGATCTTTACTTAAAATGGAGTCAGATGTAATTTGGTCTTTACCTACAACGGGTAAGTAACTTTACAGAAGCGCTAATTTCAAGCCTTCGGCTGTCCTACTGGATTCCGCCATTGGGCCAGTGGACGGTTCCCCTACAGGAGGTCATCAGTAGCAGCATCATTTTTCTCATTCAGTTTACCGACGACAATAGCCTTGATGGTCTTGCTCTAAGTCATCAGTCTCTGGCTTCAAGACCTCCTCATCAAAAAGCTGCAGTTCCAGTTTCAGGTAAGACACATTCACGTATGTTTCACCAGAAAGGGCGTAAGTGAAGTCAAGAGGATTTAGACCCATGTGGACAGACTCCAATGACATCAATGAGGGATCCCATGAGGGATCCAAATGCCAATAAGACTTTTGCAATGGCCGTCCCTGCTCCAGGACTCATGGTATCGTTTCATGGCATGACCCCCACCTGGTGAACTCATGACTTGGACTTGGAATAGGGTGAATTGACTATAACCCTTGTGGACGCAGCAGGAGAAGGAGCCGTCCAAGGAGTACAATGCTGTCGTTTTGACAGCCCCCCTTTCTAGTTTAATTACATGTTTTCAAACATGAATCATTCAATTTAATTAGCTGAATTTCCACCAAAAAGCATCTCTCCATCTTCTTGTTGCAATTCAAAATAAAGACAATTTACTCAGATCACAGACAGCATTTTATTTACCAATGAGCTTCCATGTAAGTAGCTACTTTTCATATGTAACACAGTAGACACTACCCAAGAAAACCTTCCCTTCCCACTCTTCTACTTTATCCTGTCACCATAAAATAAGTACAATTTTTATATACTTATACAATAAAATGATGAAATTCAAGACACAAAAAGGCCAGGAGTTGTGGTCTGTTTTTGGTTTCATTAAAAAAAAAGACCTGTATGTAAAATTCAGTACACAAGCAATCTACTTAAAAATGACATGGATTTAAGGCAAAAGTCAGTATAATCCAGTCTAATGAAGTTGCGAAGCAATTACCCAAAACAGGACCACAGTGAAACAAGAAGTTGACAAAAAGATGGTCAGTTAAGAAGGCTACATAAAAATAATAAAAAAATAAAATAATAAAAATGTTTCATTACTGTCTCCTATAGAAACTGAGCTTGCATTTATTCCATGCATGTGCACATGTGGAACAATTATCAGAAATTTATTTTAAACCAAAACATACTTAATTTGTCAGTTTAGGTGATATCTTTACCGGGTCATCATTTGGAAGCCAAATTAGATTTCATTTTTTTATGTTTTTTTAAAATTCAAATTAATAATTGCTGTGCAAATTATGTAAATTATTATACTAAAACTAACATAGTCAATACAGTGCAGATAAATGGTAAAAACTGCATGAAATATTATTTACTGCAGAATGCAGACTTTGTGAGTGGTTGTACTAATGAGACAATCCATATACAATTCTTTTACCAAGGGTATCATACTTTTTAACAAATTATTTTCATGACAGACTTGCAGAAGTAACACTCATATAGTGATATACACTGATACAGCAACAACTGTTAGTGTTCTTTTTACATCATCTCAGACAAATACAGACATATGTGTCCATGTGTTTATATTTTGAAAATATATGGATGCATTTCGTTTTTTTTAAAACAATACCTGTATGTATAAAAACACATGGATAGGACAAGAATGGTTTAGCATGATACTGCGATAAAAAAAATCAAAGAACAACAGAAGATTACAGGTCTTGGAACTGCTATCTGCAATGGTGTTCAAGTTGCTTGGGGCAAACTAATTCAAATGAACAACTGAAAAACAGCATGAACCACCCCGACTCTCCTTCCTGGGACAAATGTGGTCACGCTCCCAACCCCTACACAATATATACTGCTCAACAGTTTGGAAACTAAATAATTGGCTTTTTCATTGCACTGAATATTAGCTTCCCATATTTATCCATACTGATGTTGTCTGCATATTGGTGCTTGCATAATATAGAAGGTCTTTCCTGAACTAAATTACTCTTTAAGAACTTTAACACAAGTTTCTGAATAAAAGAAAGGAAAAAAAATCAGACAGGTGACTTCTATCCTGAGCTGTTAAATATGATTTAGATAACACAAAATACTATAAATACAGCAATTAAAAGACCAAACAAAACAAGGGCAAGATGACAAAAAAAAGACCACAGAATACAAAATTACAAATAAGCTACAAAAATATCTGTAATAAGAAATTAACTCAAAGAAGGATTCTATATATAATCATTCGATATATGGCAGTGTCACTTTTTCAATGACAAGTGCATTTAATTTGAAATCTTCACAGAATGTACATTGTACATAAATGTTAAAGTAGACACAGATGAATCTTGAGGCTGTGTATTTCATTGTCATACTTTTAAATTGAATATACATTATAATTTACACAAATTTTCATATACAGGGTATGGAATTATTACTATTTTACAACCATGTAAACAAAATAATATAGTCATCTCACAAAAATTAAAACACCAATGTCATATTTTATGCAATTTTTGGCAATAACCAAATTCTGCTGAATTCTGACCATATGCAATTTAATGCATTAATTCATACAATTTTCATATATCTATATATCATTTCATATGACACTGGCAGGTCTAATCAACAATGTGATCATGTACTCTCACTCTCCATTATATCAAACAAAAAGTTTCCATGCAGAGTAAAATCATAATAATAATAATAATAATAATAATAATAATAATATGAAAGAAAACTGATATGACAAAAAGAAGAATTTCAAATCATTGCACAAAGTAAACTTTGGTCTTCCATGACAAAATACTTATTCTTGGAAAATATTCAAATATGTTGAATATGTTCAACAGAGTTCATGTGGAAATATTTAGTGAGACACAATATTTCAGTACACCTTGGAAAATAAAGATATTCAGTCTTCTTCTGTGCATCCTAGGAACTCCACCCGCAAAGTGATCCGGCCGTACCATGACCATGGTAGGATCCGTACAAACCTGGCATAAAGGGGTGGATCTATCAAGTTCTTTCTGTGTGTGTCGTTGTCAAAATTTCCTTGGAACACCTGATGAAGACAAGTACAATATGTAATAGTGCTTAAACAGAGTTGCAGTTCAATATAAATGAGGGAAAACAATGTCCACAAAGACGTTTAGTTGGTAATGATTTAAATAAATGCATGAGATAACACATATAGTAGCTATATGAAAAACATTAGAGCATTGTTGAAACACATGAAAATAAAGGAAACTGTGGAAAAAAATAAAATCACAGTGTTATTAACAAGTAGAGTGTGTTGTTAACCAGAGAGCTGAGTTAGTTCATATGTTACTTTGTAAGTGAAAGAAAATAATCGAGAATATTTCGCTTAATGGAACTTTGCTCCTTGGTAATGATACCTAAACCTACGAGCCAGTTGGTGTGCTAGTGTTGGCTCACTTTCATCCCAAGCAATCATATTAGTCATGCCTCCAAGTCAACATGAGCCATTAAGGAAAGGAAGCTAATCATAAAAGTGATGCACATTTAATAAGTAACAAAAGCAGGAAGACTGGCATATTTCAAATATTCCAGTGTGACAATTGCATAATTAAACAATAATTACATTTTCAAGCCTGATTATAGTGAAAGTGATGAAGAACCATTCTTACCATTTCATAAATGAAAATGCTCTGATTGTTTTCTAAAGTGTTAATAATTCTGTTTAAATGTAATTGTAATTGTAAAAATATTTACATTTTCTATCTGTTGAATGTTTATTATTGCAGAAGTCCAGAGACTTGTATTAAAACATCATCATTTTTTTCTTCCTGTTATCCTGAGATCACAAAAAATAAGTCATGATCCTGAAATAAAGATCACAAGTTAATTTTCTTGTGATCTCGAAAAAACTTGCTTATTTCGAGACCACTACTTTTCCCAGTGATCTTGTAACAGGTTTGAGTTTGAGTTTGAGTTTTGAGTTTGAGGTTTTGCAGCTTAGTTAGCTACACATAATTATCATGGACAAATTTAATTGATTTTATGTCGATCATGCATTGTCAGAAGCAGAAATAGCAGTACGTCTGAAAGTGTTAGACAATTATCATATTCATGTCCGTCACTTGAGAAAAAAGAGGGCAACTAAATCACAGCAATGAATACATTTTCTACTAAAAGAGAACATTGTGAGATAGAATTATTTAACAACTAAGTACTAAGTTTTAATCTAATCGAGTGGACATAATCACAAATTGCTAAGTAGTCTAATGATAACTTCTCCTTAGATCTCCACTAGTTGGTTAAGGGAATTATTGGAAAGAAACAATACATTTTGAGTAAGACTGATTATTAACCTTCATCACAGGGTTCAGCATATTTAATCTGTCACCCCAAAAAACAAACCTTTGTGCTTAAGTTCCTGGCAATCTCAAACTCTCTCCTACGCCATTGATAAGGTTCAAGTAGCTAGTTGCTTGATGCTGTGGCACACACAGTGAAACAGGTGATCATCTACATCACCACATCAGGGAAACAAAAAAAAAAAAATTTGATGTCTAAACTTTTATTTCGAGGACAAGAAAAATATCTTGAGAAAGAAATAATGATGAAATGTCCTCTCTGGACTTCCATAAATCATAAATATACACTGATAATTTCCATCCATCCATTCATACATCCACTGCTTACCCTGGTCATCTAGCACCATCTACATCTAGCTATTATATTATTCACAATATATTATTTATGCATAGATAATTATATGAGGTTTAGGGGGGCAGAGAGGATGCACTACAGGTAGCTTCTACAAAATCAATCACTTACTTTGAAATAAATATTGTGTCAGTGTGAATGACATTTCACAGTAAGGGCTCACACCAAACTATAAAAATAAAACCAAAGAGCATGTGAGAAGGCAAACACACAGGACGTCTTTGCACGCATAGAGTGTGCCAATCTTCTGCCACCCAGATTTGCACTGGTGCTTAATAAATCTCTGTGGACATCATTAGCCAGTCCAGAGAGTTGGAAAATAATGTGACATTCAAGAAACTTAATTTCCCCACTCCCAAACAACTCTTGAATGTTTTATTAGACTATTACTTTAAATTGAAATGTTGACCAAAAAATAATAATTATAAAGAAAAATTTCAGGGATGTTTTTTTTCTTCCAGTCTGCTCATTTGAACCTTGTATTAAAACTCAATTCAGCGTGAAACAAAGTTATGCATAGTAGAGGAGAGTGTAAGTTAGACACTGCCTAGGGTTTTGTGCTTAAGATTTCAACTTGAGTATTAAGATAATCAAATGTGTCCAGATTTTTGCTTTAAGTAAAATTACTATTGCATGAAAAATCACAGTTCCAGTACTGTAAAGAAAATTCAGTGCTTAACAGAATCTGGACTCAATAAACACATCCTAAAGATGAAGTGTGATTGTAATTGTACTAATTTAAAATTAAGATTATCCAGTGAATCACCATTTTTCATTACATACATTTTTCATTTGCATAAAAAGGTTACTCAATTATATAAGCTAACAAGTTCATTCATACAATCACTTAAGAATGAAGGAATAAGGTCACATTTTATGCTTCAGGCTTTCAATGCCTAAAGTCTATTGCTATAAAAGAAATAATCAGAAAATCATTTTTTGAGGTATAAAAAAGACATCCACTTGAATATCTTTTTTTTTTGTAATATAAAGACATTCAAGTCTAAAGGACTTTTCTCAAGTCCCTATAAATTGAACAGAACCACAAAGTCTATTTGACTCAGAAAGATAAGATCAGCTCCAGCAGGAGTCCAGCAACTCTTATGTACAAAATTGTGTAAAATAATGTGTACAGTGAAATGCCGAAACACACAAGAGAAATGCTCCAGAAAGAAATAAAAGTCAGACATAACTGAAATGTGACAAGAATCTTGAGACTGTCTAGAGACCAGAGGCTGGTTACCGTGAATTTTATGAGAAAGACTTCAAACAGGAAGATGACTCACAAAACAAAAATAATAAAAAAGGCTAATTTAAAAGCAAAGAAAAAGAAAAAAAAGACGGAGACACATACATTCAGCAACACACATATAATGCCATTCAGTTTCCTGCATCTGCATTCATTCTGCATCTGTGGTGTGAAAAGTCATAGACTTTTGCACCCTTCATGCATCGCTAATTTTTCTCCCATATTGATCTTATTTTACTAGTGCCTGTACATTGTGTACGTTTTGTCTTCACATCTTGTCATAAAATCAATGACAGCTAGAAGACAATTATGCTGTAAACAAAAAAAAAAAAATAACATGTACTTCATATGAACTGAGGATAAAGGTTCTCTGTGTGTGTTGCTATGTTGAAAATTATTTTTAATATCTTGATTTTATGGACAATTTACAGACGCATATTTCATAAAACATATGCTTTCTAAAAATACATGTACAATTTAATGCTGCCTTGAAGATCTTCTAGCTTACTTCATGTCATTCATTGCGATATGTTTGTGAACAGAGGACTACATTTTCCATTGAATTCAGTGCCAAATGTCTGAATGTTTTCCAATACTTATATTGTGATTGCTTACACTTTGTAAATACTGAATTATATGCAAAGATCATCTTGCATATTGAAATAAGACTCAGCATCATCTCATAGCGCACTAGTTAAATGGGCTTTCATTTACAGATCACTGTTATACATATAACCATAGTCATATACAATACATTGCATTTTTATTTTTCTGGAAAGTTACTTGTCAGTAGTAGATGTCAGTATAAAGACAGTATATGTTCCAATTTGCAATAATACTTTGCCTAATGACCTGAAGAATTAAAATTAAAGTCGCTAGATAACTATTTTTGTAGCACCAGAGCCGCTTACTGTGCCTGCATTCTGTTTTGCATTTCCCATCATGTAAGGTAACACCCCTTTGTGTTTAATGTAAACAGTTTTCCACCATGATAGTGCTTAGTTAAACTAGTGTATGGTAGAGTCAGAGTTCACTGCCTGTTGCTGAAATTTCTGTGACTGTTTGGCCATTGGACTCTCTTTGTAAAGGCTGTACTCCTTGAGTTTAATGTTGGACATGAATATGTGGCCCTATCCCGTGTGTTTTGCTTTTTCTGCCTGATCCGACATCTTGAACATGTGACAATAAAAAAGTCTGATATGATTATGGCTATTACAGTAAATGTTTACTTTGGCATTTACAAACTTACAGTGGCATGCAAAAGTTGGGGCAGCCCTGGTCGAAATTCCTGTTACTGCGAATACTCAAGTGAATAGAAGATGATCTGATCTCCAAAAGGCAGGAAGTTAAGGATGAAACTTTTTTTCAACAATTTAAGCAAGATTCGTGTATTATTTTTGTTCTATACAATTTTAGAGTGGATAAAAGGAAAGAATCACCAGGCAAAATGTTAGTCAACCCAAGAGATTTGAGCTCTCAGAACGCTTTTACCGAGGTCTAATAGTTTGTTAGGGATATGGCTCTGGCTTGTTCACAATCATTATTAGGAAAGGCCAGGTGATGTAAATTTCAAAGCTAAATAAATACTCTGGCTGTTCAGAATTCAGTGGCTGCATCCTTCTAAGGTTGGATTCGAAGACAGAATTCATCACAGCGGCATGACAAGGATGTCGCATTTCAACGGCTCCTTCAAACAGAGTCTAGAAATGCATGCTTCTTTTGCTGAGTCACTGCAGATTCACTTGATGGATCCTTTGCAGCCCAACATATCCCAATATTCATTGTGTGGCCCTTCAAAGATGCAGCATGCAAAGGCTATGTACACTGTGTCCTTCAAAGGATACAGCCCCTAAATTTGGACACAGCCTCTGATTCCTCAAACCTTGTCCCAACAATCAGCAGTCATGGGTTACCCTAATCACCTGCCTAGCACTCTGAAAATTAAAATAATTCATGCCCACAAAGCATTCCACTAGTAGAAGAATGTATTCCATTAGATACCAGCAAGAAGCCTTTTGTAAAGAATAATGGGCAAAAATCCCCCAAAGAAGAAGAGAGAGACTCTAAAGCCTTGTTTCCACCAATGCAGCACCGGTGCTGGTGCCAGACTTTTTTGGGCCAGAAAAAAATGGCTCCAGAGTGGCACCACAGAAAAGCTGGGCTCAGAATGTGGTACAGTAACGTCAGCGAAAGTGGGACGGCCTATGGTGTCCAAACCTTCTGTATACCCAGAAAATTCAATCCATAACCGACAGTTAGTCTAATAACAGCGGTGCTGGCAGTGAAACATCTTGCCAGCTTATTAGCGGAATAAGGTTACATATTTTTTTTTTATTCTGAGAAAAATGAAAGATTGATATGCTGGCCAGATTTAATAATAAAGTATAAATATGCAAGTCGAATAAATAACTTATTATAGCGTTTGAACGGTGAAGAAAGTATGAGGCAGACAGCAAGTTTTTAGCAGTTTTTAACGTTACTGCACGATCCTTAAAAGGACAGCAAGCGAAAGTAAACAAACACACATAGATGGGGGACAAAATGTCATAGTTTAAAATAGTATGGACTGTATTTGCTGGAAATAAGATATTTTACGTAAAATATTAACTTGCACTAAATCACTTGTATAATTCACATAAATGATGCAACATTGCATCGTGTTGTTTTCTCTGAAAGAATGAAGATCAATTTGCTGGCCAGATTTAATAACAAAGTATAAATGTGTTCAACAATAAAGTATAAATATGTCAGACATTGAATAAATAAAATATTGTGGCGTTCCAGTGGCAAAGAGATCATGAGGTGTATAGTTCAGTTAATAGCAGACTTTTATTGTGTGATCCAGCAGTAAAACAGTGAGCGAGAATGAACTCACTTAAACAGAAACAGGGAGCCTTTACAGAAACAAAAGTGGATACAGGCAATGGGGACATGGCGCAATGAATCATTTTTTGGTTTTGCAAAATAAATCCAAAAAACAAAATGCAGATTAACCTTTACATTCATTTCCTGCTACGTAACATTTCTGTTCCGTTCTTTTTTTAACCCGGTGGAAACGCAGACTGGTTCTCAAAAGGCACCAAGTGAAAACCAGCGCAGCACCGGGGCACCAGCACCAGCACCGCGCTGGTGGAAACGAGGCTTAGGCTGGCTACAAAAAGCATTTACAAGCTGTGATACCTGCCAAAGGGGGGTTTTATTAAGTACTGATCATGCAGGGCACCTAAACTTTTGCTTTGGGCCTTTTCCTCTTTTAGTTTTAAACTTTAAATATTGCAGAAATATGTCATTTTTATCTTTATGTGTGTTTTGGAAATCAGGTCATCTTTTACTTGCTAAGCGATTCACAAAAACAGAAATTTTGACCAGGGGTGCATGCCACTGTATGTCATAGAAATCACAGAGGAGACCTTATATATAATTATAAAATTAGGTTATTACCTTGTCCTTCTTCTGTTTTTGGTCTTGATATATACTCCATCTTTTGCCATCATCACTGAAGGCCACTTTGTAGGATCCCACAAATTGCACATGCCCAAAATCTTTTGCTCCTTGTGTGATGATTCCAGTAATTTTCATTGGGCAGAGCATGTCAACCTAAAAATATAAGAATGAGAGGAATATGAAACAAAAACTCATATTTTTGATAGTCAGCACCTTTTTCTAATATTTCAAAAAGATATATGAAGACATTGAAAATTCAGTACAAAACCTACATTCAATTATTAATTGCATATTGAAAACAGGCTTTGCTCAGCAAAACCTGAGTAACAACAGCAGCAGCAATGATAAAAGACACCTTCAGTTTCATAACTCATTATGTGATCATTTTCTTTTATTCCATGTTCAGCTGTGTTCTATGATTAATACTAGGTTGGATTATATGTTTTGAGTAGAATTGCATGTGTAAACTGAACCAAACAGAAGACTTCATAATGCAATAGCCAGGGCAAATAATTACATGATACAAAGAACTACAAATACAATTATACAGATGTGGAAGAAATTAAGAGACCACTTTTTTTTTTTATGTGCATTTTAAAATCCTGGTTTAATCCTGATTCTGCTGACAGATGGCTACACGGCAAGTTGCTTCCAGACGCAAAATTTCTAAGACAGCAGTACACAAGAACAAAGTGAGACAGAAGACAGTGTGAATGACCAAACACCAGCCAGGCAGAGGGTGGAAGCAACATTCTAATGGCAGAGATGACTGTCAACTTATCCGACAGTTTCTCATGAATCGGAAGATGACAACAAGTGACCTTCAAAAGGAATGGGACACATTAAGTGCAGGTGTGAAGTGCTCCTCTAGGACAGTAGATCCTAGAAGGAGGACTGAAGACCCATAAAGCAAGGAAGAAGCCCTTCATCAATGAGAAGCAGCGAAGAGCCAGGCGGGAGCAAACAAAAAAAAACAATGCAAATTTTACACAGACGCATACCCATCAATTGGGAAATGAATGCAATAAAAAAAAATTCCATTGCTGTAAGTCTACTTTTGTTGCAGGGGACTATTGAATGTCTTTTAACCAAATGAGTATATCATTTGTTTTTTTTTTTTTATCAAATTTGAGATTGGAATATTGCATCATTGTGTTGGCAACATGAACGTAGTTACTAAACTATAATGTGTATTCTAAAGCAAATAAACGATGAACTGTAAAAGAGGGAACTGATCATAAGGCACAACAAATCAACAGTAAGAAAGCCAGCTAGCCAGCCAGCCAGACAGAGAGATAGATATGTGCTATGTGAAGGATCAACCTAACACAGACAAAGACACACACACACGTTTATATTCATGCCTTTGTGGGGACCGTCAACTCATTTCTATTGGAAAAACCATAATCCCAACAATGACAACCGCAACCCCTACCCAGTCCTAACCTTAAACTTAAGTAACCAAACAAAATACAAGATACCAATTAGCCTGACTTTCTGTCTTTAAAGGGCAAAGTTTGTATCTATAATGCATGGTGTGTTAATTAAAGGCAATTTGTTCTAAACGCTCTGGCCATCCTTTGGATGATAGTAGATAATTGGCAATCACACATCATTATGTAGTTAAACAGCAAATTAATTTAAGGAATTATTTTCTGAAAGTTTAAAAAATGTATATCATTGGCCCTCTGGCTTTAAAATAAATAAGGTTATTTGCAATTAGGACAGGATCATCTTAATAGGAAAATGTGATTCATTCACTTTATGTTCAGTTTCCTTAGCAGCAAATTACAGTAGAATCACTTGTTACTCTGTAAGCATATGTAAATACGAATATGCGTAACTTTGTATTGGTATAGTGTAATGTACCGCCATTCTGCCTAAGGTATACCTTGCCTTACCCTAAAAAGTTTTAGAGATATATATCTAGATACACAAAGCATTCCACCTGCTGCACTCTCCGTTCACTTATGACTCTCTTGCCGACATACTTCCAAGCCCCATCATGTGAGCAAGAAACAATTCTTCACTCATAATAAAAACGCAACAAAGGCCTCTGTACCTGAGGAGCCCAAAGAAGGCTAAACTGTCCCCAAGGTACTGTACTTCCACATATACTCAATTTGGGACCAACATAGGCTTGGACTATAAGGCTTTGCTGTAAGTGGTAAAAACAGATTAGTTTGTCACCGAGTCCTCATTCCCATCCATACAAAACATTTACAAAAAGCAATGTAATAGGAAGACTCACAACATTCTGAATGATCAAAGCCACCCAATCCATGTACATTTTGTTCCCCTGCCGCATGGCACACAATACTAAAGCATTTGGTCCACCCCCACCAGAAATGAGAACAGTTCTACACTGTTATGTACGGAGCCCCTAACAGGACATAGGTGGGGAAAAATTTACAGTATCTGGTGTGCACCAGATATGGTAAAAAAATATAACATTGTATTGGATTTAGTCTCTTTCACATGTCAAGTATCTATATATTTATATACATTTATATAAAGTCAAGAAGGCTAATTTCTTCAATTTAAGCCGTACACATAAGTCATCAACAGACTTACGCAAATTCCAAAGATGTTGAAACTAGATATAGAAATGGCAAGTTTAAGGTGTATTCAGCAGATCTTACCCTTCAGAATGTTAATGGCAAATGCAGCCTTAAATAGTTAAAAAAAATTTATGAACAATTTTTAGTTCTTAAAACATTAAGCCTTTGCTTTAGAGAAAATACAAAAAGAAAGCATCCCTGCTCAGACTGCTGCCTCCTCAACCCAGTCCCAGATAAACAGAAAATAAATGGCTTGATAGATGAGATTGCACTATTTTGTTGTCCATCCAATCTTCACATAGCTCCATACAGAAAGTAAACTTGTTACACTTTATATTGGCTTCAGCAGCATTTCCTTAGCTCATTACTCTTAATTATGAAGGTTAATTAAACCAAACATTCTTCAAAGAAAAAGGTTAACTGGATCACCTTCCACAGGGCTTTGTTTGCTGCAACTTGCTTGTATTTAGCAAGTCAGTTAGATCATATAAATATTGCTAGGTAGCTTGCTGAAACACTCCCATAAACTACTGCATAAACCACTTGATTAAATGTAGAAGATCAGTTTGTTTGAGTAAGCAATTATGAATTTTTAGAATACTTAGTTGCTAAATGAACAAAGCAAGGGTGCATGAAGTTTAGACTATCTGAATTAAATTTGATTTCCTAATGAATTTATCATCATAAAATGGTTCAGACGATGTTAAATAGATTAATAGATGTTAATAGTTTTTCTATCAATGCTTTTTCAGCAGGAACACATTCACCATTGTGGTACAGCACTTACCAAGATGTTCAAACTTCAAAGACAGATAAACACAGATCACAGTAGTTCTTGGTCTTTACCTATGAATATGATTTTGAAGTTGCCAATCCTTTGAGTACGTCCATAAAGAAACAAAATGTGTGCTGTTTACTGGGTTCTTGCCAATATGTCAACAAAACACAACTTCACTCAACAATAACTTCAGTTGGCTTTCTTTGGTCTTGACAGTGAAATATTGTGTCTTCTTATTGTGTCTCATTTAAGATATTTTCTTGGAGCAACATGGTGTCTACACTGAGCAGCTGGGAGCAAGACAAAAAGAAACCAATGAAGCATGAAATAGATTTCTTTTAACCAGTTTCCCAAAAGCAGATTAATCCGGTGTTGAGATAATTAGAAAAGGGAAATCCCATAGGTCAAACTGTAAAGCAAAATATGGATATAACATTTGCCTTAAGAATGAAGAAAGTGGTGAAAACTGAACTTTCAGTGGGTTAAATCTTTCATCTGTATTCTTCACTAAAACTGAAGCACGAATGAGTGGGAGTATTTACATTTCAAACATCATCTTGCTTTAGTTCACCTGTAAACTTCTGTTGATCCATCGTATGAAGGACATTTAGAATATTTTTTGTAGGTCTTCACTAAATTCAATGGAACTGCAGGGCAATGTCAGAAGAAACAGTTTTATGAAGGCCAATATTACTAGTCCACACTTCATTGAGCTTTTCTAACACAAATAGGACATGGAGAAGTTTTGGCAAATTTACCAAAACAAATTCAAGTTTATATTTCTTTGCCAATTGATATATTTGGTTGCCATGATGTCATAGTTGTTTGTTGGCAAGTTGTGTTTATATATTACTGAGGCCTTTGCTACCTTTATAGTTAATGGCTTCAAATAAAAAATTTTCTCATTTAATTCACATGTGCACTGCAAGGCAGTTTATTTCATGTTCACGACTCATATGTTGTCCTGTCTTTTCCCTTCTTTTCCTCAATTAAATCTTTAGATATGACTGCAGTGAGTGCTATCAGAGGCGATCCTAGGGTCTGTTGGGGCCCCAAGCAAAAATTCACAGGGGCCCCCCCTCTAACCAGTTTTTGTCATCATTTTAATAAATAATCTCACATTAACAAAAAATTGTGAACAGTAAACATTTTTTATTTCACAAGTTACCATTTTCAACAAGTTAATGGATTTTAAAATATGAAACCAGCTCTCGTTCGCCATCTAGTGGCTTGGGGGCCCCAAGCAGCTGCCTGCCCTGCCTGCTGACAAGATGCGCCTCTGAGTGCTATGGTACTGTCAGGTGTCTGACCCCAGGATCTGGATGTTACAAGAAAATGTGTGAAATCTGTTACTCTGCCCTTCCTCTATTAAGTGAATTCACCTGCATGAATTTTCTTGTGCAACTAGTTAAATACATTCATTGCAAGGTATTGTGTACTTCCTACTGAGCATGTCCTTTGTGATTAGTTCTAGAAGTATTTCCTGTGTTATTTGACCCTTTGGCTGTTTACCTGACTTTGCTTCTTTGGATTACAATTATGTTCATGGTTTGGTTTTTTTGACTTTACTACCAATTTAATAACTGAATTCTGGACATTGTTTTGGTAGAAAAATTCCATCACGGATTGCTCTGTAAATGAATCTCTGCCCAATCTGTCATGGGTTCCAACAGGACTTGGGTGATGACAGTCAAAGTTTTTTTGTAATATGTTATGAAGTAAATTCCCACATGAAACAATAGTCCTGCCCACCAAAAATGAAATAAACCCCCTCCACAGGTGAAGTAACCTCCTGAGACCCCACCCATTAATTT